TTTTTTTTTTTTTTACATGTAAGAATTGTGTAGTACCGCTACACGAAAGTCATGAATACATTAAGAGAATGCTTAGCTTGATTAGGAAGAGTAGAAAAATAAAATAAAAAAAAACATAGGGACCAGGAGAGTTGGCTCGTCATTAAAAGCACTGGCTGCTCTTCCAGTGGACCACAATTTGGTTTCCAGAACCCATATAGCAATTCACAACCCCCTGTAACTCTAGTCCCAGGGAACTCAATGCCTTCTTTAGGTCTTCTCCAGCATGCACATGGTACATGGCAGCTAAAACACCCACAGATATAATTAAACCCATACACATAATTAAACTCGTTAAAAAATGGAGAATAAAAAATATTGCATCGACCTCAGCTGCTAGAATGCCACATTCATGTTCTTTTCTCTTTTTAAAAATCTTTCAAATTTTTTTTCCTCCAAAATGTAGTTTTAGGTTTATAGAGTTATACATATTCCTATCGTGTAACATTTGACTCTTGCATTTTTTTTTTTGTTTGTTATTTGAGCCAGTTTCTCTGTATAGTCTTGGCTGTTCTGGAACTTGGTCTGTAGACCAGGCTGGCCTGGAATTCACAGAGCTCTGCCTGCCTCTGCCCACCTAGTACAGGGATTAAAGGTGGCTTTTCTTGCATTCTTACACTTTTATTCCTTTCTAAAAGTTTTGACACATGGTCTTGCTATGTAGCTGTGGCTGGTTTCTTATCTACTATAAACACAGACTGTCTTTGAACTCATGGTAATGATAATCTTCTTACTGTATCCTCCTGGTGCCACCACCACCAGCTTGTTCTACTTCTTGCTTTCTTAGTCTTTTTATCTTGATTTTTCAATCCATATACCTAAATGTAAGTGTTCCTCCAACTGCTTTGGAGTTTTATTCCAATTTTCTGAAGGAAATTTAGAAATCTAGAATAAGCTAAAAACTTCTTTACACTTATAGCTAGCAGTGCAGTGCCCACAGGGGCCACTGGTTGTTACTGCATAGCCTAAGGAAGAGGGCAGAGAAGAAAAAGTGTAAAGAAAGGGAGCAGGAGAGTTCCACTCAGTAGACAGGGTTAGGAAGCCATCACAACTGCCTCCACGGTAAGGGGATATGTCTATGTTTTTCTGAATTACAAAGGTAAGGACATGGAAACTGAAAAATTTAGCATGGTTGTAAGAACAAACCTCTTTGTCTTCTGGAGACAGTTTTTGCTTCTATCATAATGTATTTCAGCCACTCCCCCTTTGAGATTAACCACACACAATGGCTGTGTCTTTTCACATATTTTAGAGAACCAGCAACAACAGTTTGTCAGCAGGATTAATGTGACTTAGCAGTTGCTATGCAGTTTCTTGGACGTTTTATACTGTGGGATATCATCTGGGTTTTTCTTGGTGAAATAACTAAAAAGTCAATCTTAAACAAAAGAACAAATAGGACACACATCTGTGATTTTATGCAAATAGCTTGAATAGATTCTACATCAGTAGAAAGGCTCTTTTATGGCTATGTGGGCTAGCTAAATTTTTGGCAACAACAACGGAAAAAGTTGTGAGCAGTAGTTTCTTTTACTCAGCTATGCTACCTCATGTAAACATCACAGAGAAACATTCTCTCTGACAATAGTTCTGCTTCGGATAATTTATTTTATCTCTCCTACTTTATACCCAAGAATATAAAAAACCACCATTTGGTTGCTAATATTTTATCTCTTGTAGTTCTCTGTTTTACTCCACAAATACAAATCTCCTGTCATTTTATAGTAATTCTGGATGGTTTTAAAGAGACCAGAACAGAATTTACCTTGTAGATGGGAGTAAGTAATAAGAACCCATGAAGTAACCATAAAGATAAATAATTTTCTTTCTGGACAATATTCATTTCTATAAACAGTACACAAAGATAAACTTGGAAGAAAAATACAGGCGCCAAAAAGGTTTGTGATTTATGCTTTACTAATTTCAAAGACAGTCTCATCTAGTGGGAAAAGTTAAAGATAGATTTCTTGAGATTCTATTGGTGTGAAACATAATGCCAACCTTCACCATTTTATTTTATTTACACAGATGTTAGAGTAACAATTCAGATACATGTTACCCTGCCCTTCTGCCCTTCCTCCCTTCCTCCCTCCCTCCCCTCCTCCCCGCCTTCTTTCTATAGTTGATCCTCTTCCTTCAGCCTCCCAAGTGCTGGGGTTATAGGCATGTAGTACTGTGCCCAGCTCTGACTGCCATCCTTTTGTCAGGGATTGTCTGGGGAAAGTGTGTTTACAACAATAATAACAGTAATAATAATAATAATCATGATAGTAATGTTTACATTAAATATCCAGGAAACAATTTTTAAGTGTTCTTCTTTTGGTATGTTCTGGGTAAATTACTAAGACTTTCCATAGCCTAATTTGATTTTCATGACAATCTGTTAATGTCACAGTTTTTGCCATTTCACAGAGAAGGATAAAAAGGTTTTGAGTAATTTACTCAAAGTCACATATTTAAGAAGGCAGTCCTGGAACCTAGATCACTTGGACTCTGTTCAAAGCCCATATACAGAGCTTTAACCATTTTTGATGGTAACTCTAATGTAAGAGATGGCACTGGAACATGACAGATATTAGTGAATGTATTTAATTACAAGAAAAAGAAATATTATTTTAATGGGCAGAAGAAACAAAAAAAAAAAAAAATCCGTAACTCACCATTTAAAAAAATTTTACTGGCTGTATCCACATGTAGTTCCATGAGGAAAATATTAATTTTAAATTAATTTATCATTGTTTAACTATTTTTGTAGGCTGTAGTTCTTTGTGAGCACTGCTAAAATTGGTATATTTTATTATTTAAATATGTTAGCTATCCAAATAACAGAACGTGAAGACTGCTAGAACTATTTAAAAAATAATAGCAACTTTGAGCAATAATATATTCAAAACTAATAGAGCCTGTGATTTTCATATACTTAATATATTCATTTTGAACACAGAATACATTGTCATACAGGACAATACTTTTCTCATTATGTTATAGTGAAACCCCATATGGAATTTATAAAATTGTTATTCATTTATATCTGTTGTGTCTACTTTTAGGAAAATTTAGATGATATTAATGCTGATTTTTCTGTTTACTTTATGGTTGTCAAAATATTCTTATAACTTCACACAACAATAATAATTTCAAAATTTCTGAGAATTCCTGGAATACTGATTTATTGTCCCTTAATCTCAAAAAAACATGTTGGTAAAAGGTGAAAGATTTACAGGATCTGAAGACCAAATAGAATGTCTTTATCAAAATCCTCCTCCTCAGGGCTCAGGAAGCCAGAGGTGATGGACATCTCCAGGGAAACAGTATCCTCCAGAGGCTGATGCACAGAGACTGCACAAATATCTTACACAAGTTCAAGCAGGTACCAGCACACAAGTATGTGAACACAAACTCTCACCCCAAACCAAGAAGATACTTGCAAGTAAAACCCATTGACAAAGGGAATATCAGTTTTCTCCAATGGAATGTCACTGGGTATGTCAACTATACTACAAGGGAAATCCTATGCCCAGAGTAGTTGACAAATAAAAACAAACTCAATGGCTTTTTTGGTGGCCTTTTGTTTTATCATTTTGTGTCTTATTGGCCTTTTGATTGTTTGTTTTGATTTTTGTTTTTGTGAAATTTTTTGAATGACAGAAAAGGAATACTAAGTTTGGTGGGTAGATAGGTGGGGAAGATCAGGGAGGAGCTGGGGTGGGGGAAAGCATGATCAATATATTGTATGTAAAAAAAAAATAAAAAAATTAAAAATAACTATTTTTAAAGAACCCTGAAAAGCTAGGAAATATGTAAGACTATTTTGACTATTTTTAATTTGAGTCAGTAAGTAACCAATAACAAAAATAATGTTTTCTTTTCTTTCTTTCTTTCTTTCTTTCTTTCTTTCTTTCTTTCTTTCTTTCTTTCTTTCTTTCTTTTTTTGGAGAAAGGGTTTCTCTGTGTAACAGCCCTGGCTGTCCTGGAACTCTCTTTGTAGAGAGTCTTAAACTCACAGAGATCAGCCTGTCTCTGCCTCCCTCCCAAGTGCTGGGATTAAAGGTGTGCACCACCACTGCCTAGTTAATGTACTGTGTTTTGAAAATTGCTAAAAAAGTAGATTTTGAGTGTTTTCATCACAAGAAGTAATTATTTTATGCTAATTATGTCAATGGAATCATACCATAGTGTATACCTATTTTACAATACACACAGAAAAACAAAGGAAAAAATTCAAATAAGATTTTTAAAGCAATTTAGCTACATTTTTACCTTGGGTTATTAGATCAAATTTTAGGCAAGCAATTGCTACTTAGTATTTACTTTTAAGTTTTAGACAATGTTAGGCAACTCTGAGGGTGTGAGCTGCTAGTACCATCTGGGGTTCTGAAGCTCTGAAATATGACTTCTGGAGAGATTAAAGGTTTTACTCATACTTTCATTGCATCTTTAAGTTTGAAGCAAGAGAACACATGTTCACATTTAATCCCCTTGTTTAATCTGTTTGTTTTTTTCCCGGAGACCATTTAGATGTTTTCAACTAGAAAACATGAAAGAATTCCAGAACCAGGTGTCTGCTTTCTGGTGTGTGAAGAAGCTAAAGGTACAAGCTATAGTAACAGTATTTTTTGATTTTATAGTATCAGAGAACCTAGGACCTTGTACATGATAAGTTGATCTGAGCCACATCCCTAGACAAGTAATAGTGTTTTTTTTTTTTTTAACTTGACATCTATGTATATATTTGTAATAAACGATTTCCATAGGACTATATAATACTTTGACTGCAGAGAACTAATCAAGATTGTGTCAAAAATATACAGGTACAGATCAGCAAGCTTACTGGTGAGTTAAGTAATTTTGACAGTTAATTGGGAATAGATATAATAATAAACAGCTATGTGAATTGAGACAAAAATGTGGGAAAAATACTATATGAGTCTGAAGACACTAAAGAAAACTAACATATTTACCTCGAACAGCATAACCATCTTTTACTGATGCTGGGAATGGGGGTAGGTTGTCTTTTGCATATACATCTTGAGCAAGGACTCGCCCCATTCCATCTGAAAGAAAAGAAAGAAATATGAATAATGGAGGCAATGGGTAAGCAATCAGTCATAAATAAGATAGGTACAAATGCATGTGCCATATCTTGGAAATGGGCTTAGCCCGACTTTCTCATTTCAATCACCAGTGCCTGGCTCTATGGCTGTTGCTAGCTTTGCATTTTGCTCTACAATGGCTTTACTAAATAATAAATAATATATCACCACAAAACATCTCAAACTCATTCTGTGAAGTCAGTATTACTTTGATACTTATACCAAACAGGAGTAGAAAAAACAAAACAAAAAAGAAAACAATGAGTCATCTTCTCTAATGTATACAGATGCAAAAAATTCTCAATATGAACAATACTTGTAACTGGCTCAACAACTAAGGCCAATTTGATTTTGATCCATGGATAAAATTATAGTTCAGTATTCCTAAATACAGGTAGTGCAGCATACAAAGGTTTGAAGTCACATGATAATCTAAATAGTTGTAACAACCATTCACTCATGATAAAAACGCTGGCAAAATTAGGAACAGAAGGAACATACCTCAACACTTTTCACTAAATTCAGGAATGAGACAAGGGGATTTACTTTCATCATTTTATTCAATATAGTGCTTGGGTCTAAGCTAGAGTAATAAGTCAAGAAAAGGAAATATCAGGGATTCAAAAAGGGAAGTAGGAAGTAAAAACATCCACATTTTCAGATATGAGTCTATACTTAAAGGTGTTACAGATTCTGTCAGAAAACTACATGATCTGATAAACATCTTTAGCAAAGTAGTATGATATAAAATAATCAATGTTAAAAGTATTTTCTATACCAATAATCAACTTGCTGACAAAGAAATCAAGAAATAGTCTATACTCTAGCATAAAATTCCTAGAAATAAAACTATCCAAGAGTTGGAAGGCTTCCATGAGGAAAAATTTAAAACAGTGAATATAGAAATTGAGAAAGACATGAGAAGATGGAAAGACCCCTCAGCTCAACTAGAAAATGACTGTATTGAAGATTCAATGCAATCTCCATCTTTATCACAATGCTATTCTTCATGAAAATCGAAAAACAATTCTAAAATTCATGAAAGTACATACATCCAAACCAACCCTACAAAAAAAAAAAAAAAAAAAAAAAACCCAAACAAAAACAAAACTACCACCACTGCAACTCCAACAAACTCCAAATAGACAAACCATGTTAGGAAAAAAGAACAGTGCTAGAGGATGCACAATATCTGATTTCAAATTATACTATGGAGCTTTAGTTGCAAAACCAATATTGTACTGGTACAAAGATAGATATACAACTGATGGAATAGAACAGAGGACTTAATAAACTTACAAACAGCCAAAGCCATCTCCCCTGCATTTACAAAGCTGCCAAAACCATATAGTAGAATAAAAAGAGCCTCTTCACATAAATGGTACCAGGAAAACTGGATATTTATATTTAGACTAACAAAATTGGATTTTTCCCTCACTATATTTAAAAATAAATTTAAGGCTGGGCATTCATGGCACACACCTTTAATCCCAGCACTTGGGAGGCAGAGACAGGCAGGTCTCTGTGAGTTTGAGGCCAGCCTGGTCTACAGAGCAAGTTCCAGGACAGGCTCCAAAGCAAAAAACAAACAAAAACCAACCAATTAACCAACCAACCAACCAACCAACCAACCAACCAACCAACCAACCAACCAACCAAACAAACAAACCAATTCAAAATAGATCAAAGACCTTAATGAAAGCCTTGAACCCTCAAAACTACAAGAAAAAAATTAGGAAAAACATTTTGAGATAAAGGTGAGACTTTCAGGTAAGACTCCAAATTTAGAAATAACAGAAAGAACTTACACATGGGACTGCATAAAAGCATGTATATTAGTGTGAGTGTTGAGGTGCTTGTGTAGGCCCTCAGTCCCCTGGAACTATAGATACACACCAGATTGTGAGCTGCCTCATGTGTGTGGTGGGAATTAAACTTGGGTTCTCTGGAGGAATAGCAAGCATTCTCAACTACTGAGTAATTTGTCTTGTCCTGGGGCTGCATAAATGTAAAAACCTCTGCAAAGGAAAGGAAACATCGGCAGACTAAAGAGATGGTATACAGGATGGAAGAAAATTTTTGTCAGCTATATAAATGACATGTGATCAGTGCATAGAACATTCAAAGAACTAAAAAATACTTAATACCAAAAGAAGCAACTCATCAAAAATAGGCAAGAGAGATGAACAGAAAACTAAAACTACTCTGAGATTCTGTCTCACCTCAGTCAGAATGTCCATCCTCAGGCAAAGTAAACAAATGTCGGTAGGAATGAGGGATGAAGATGTAGCAACTATGGAAATCAGCATTAAGGTTCCTTAAAATCTAACTTGTGATCCAGCTTTGTTACTCCTAGGTACACCCAAAGAATTAAAGTGAGCACATCAGCAGGGATACTTGCACACCAAAATATTCACAGTAGCCAACATATGGAACCAGCTTAGATGTTCTTAAACAGATAAATACATAAAGAAAATATGGTACGTAAACAAAATGGAGTTTTGTTAAGCTGTAACAAAAAGAAAAAAATAAATTACATAATTTCCAGGAAAATTGATAGAATTAGATACCAACAGTTTAGGTGAGCTATTTTAAATATTCAGACACATAAAGACAAATATTGCATATTTTTTCTGGCATGTGGAATCAAGATTAAAAATACTACCACCTTCAATGCATTTATTCTATGAAAATAAAATAGTGACTACCTGAGAGGAGGGAGGAGTTTAAAGGTAAGAAAGGCAGAGGACGACAATAGTATGCAGGAGTGGGTTGAGACCAACTGTCATATGCTTTCTCTTACATGTGGACTCTAGACTGAAGAGTATATATCTAAAATATATGAAAGCTCAGGGAAACTGAGAATAGAGAGAAGAGGCCAGTGGGCAAAGGATGGTTGATGGGAATATGAGCAAAGATCAATGATAATTTTTTTACATTTATTTATTTAGTTTATGTTATTATGCATATTTGTTACATTGCATGAGTATTTTTGGAAGTCAATGGAACCTGTAGGACTTGGTTATTTAGGTTCTGGGGATGAAACTCAGATCCTCAGGCTTGGCAGCAAGACCCCCTATTTGCTGATCCATTTCACTGACCCCAAAAGATAATAAGGACTTTAGATGCTGCTCCTTTTTAAATATTTTTTCTCTTCAACTGCAAAATTTTTCCATTTCCTATGCCTTAAATCTTAACACTATTAACAGATTAACTCCAAGATAGTGAATAAAAACACTGCTAAATGGCCTATAACAAATAAGGCAGGTATACCGAGATCATAATGAGGTACCTAAAAAGAGTGGAAAAACTAGGAATCATATGTAATGCTGTGCCTTTAAAAATCATAAATATACTTGATGAAACAGGTATATTAAGTTAAAACCAATTATTCCTTTTTTTCTTCTGAGACAGGGTCTTGCTCTGTTGCCTAGGTAGGCCTTGAAGTCATGAGTCTCTTGCCTTATTCTCTTGAGTGTGGGATTCCAGCAAACACCTAGCAACATATTTTTTTGATCACTAATTGTGGGTGCCCATAAAGATGGCTGCATTTCATCTTGGTACAATGACAGAGAGTTCAAAGCTGTCAGCAAGTCATAAGACCTAAAGGTCAAAGGTGTGGCTACAGAAGGATGTTTTGGCTGGCTGTCTTAGTCTAAATAACCTGAATCTCAGGTGTGGCTACTCCTGACCTCAAGGCTAGGGAACAAGAAGTTAGACCTAAGGTATGGTTACTGAACCTTTACAATAAGTGAGGAAGAAAAGTCTGTTTGTGCCATTTACACGATACTGTGTTCCCCTTTTTGGTTTTGGTATATAAGAGTGGCGAAAAATATACTCATGGCATTTCAGTATTGACTGATCTGCCTTCCTGACCTTTATTTTGTCTCTCTGTCATCCTTTATTATCTATAGCTAGCCTTTCCCTTATCCAGACTCCCTCACTCAAGTACGGACTTAGGGCCGCTCGGCTGGCTCCGACTGCAGCCCCACAAAGACGGCTCCTGTATTTTGTTTTTTCAGAAGTGCTTAAATGAGACTTATAATATGCTTTTATTTTTATCTCTCTGTATGTATGTATACTACAGTAAAAGTACAGATGTGGGGGCATCTGAAAACACCTAGAGAGATGACTGGTGATATGTAATTTTTGGAGGTTAAGAAAATCACAATTATTTTCAGGTGAGATTATACACATTTACAGATCACAGACATAACAGACAATATCCTCCACTTCCATGCAGTTTTTCTTTTTATAGTGAGCTGTTCCTTGACCACTGGTGGTTTAAAACATTAAAGTTTAAAATTGTATGCCATTTCTGAGTCCTATGACGACATTTCATGCCAACTCAGTTTGTCCTGCCCAGAACATGGACCACACACCTTTTTTAATGAATGTTCACAGTGCTATGTTTATAGTACAGGAATGAAGAAAGAAGAATAACGATAATGATGTATTAGGATGCAGAAACCCAAGAATATATTTTAGAGGTAATGAGGATCATGGACTAAAATCATAAATGTACATAAAAGGAATGATTTCAGTTGACCACATATTTAGGGGAAAAATACCAAAACAAAACAGAAAAAGTTACAACAAAGACCAGACAAACCACCATGCAAGGAGTTATTTATAAGTAGGTAGCATTGTTCTAAGTGAAAACTTAATATATGCATGATTGAGACTTATGTAAGTTTCTTCTCTAGTATGCCCAGGGTTCCTTGGAAAAATGGAAGCTTTAGTTTCTATGCTCTTCAGGGTCAATGTGGTGTTGGGTTCCAACTTCTTAGGTCACTTTAGGCTCCAGATTATACTGCTGTGGTCCAATGGGTTACTTTGCACTGTAGTTCTGACTTCAGTTGGTCTGATGTTTGTTATCTTGTCCTAAGCATTGAATTGAATTGAAGGGGAGACTAAGGGTTTTACTTCATTTGGTTGCCTTGGTAATTAGTGTGCAACCC